TCCCCCCTGCCCTTGAAAGCTGTTGTCCATCTCCAAGATCTGTTTGGTTGCTGTTTATGCTCTTAAGGGGTATGTGCGTTTGTGTGTATATTTTTACACACACACATGAGGCTCGGTTCTTGCTATTTTGTTCTCTGTGTGAGTATTTGAGCATCAATTTAAACAAGTTTTGTTCACCGTATAAGACTATGAAAATTAAGCACCCAGCCACATAATGAGACGCACTCGGAATGTTCATGCCACTATTTGTTATTTAAAAAACTGCTGAATACTAATAAGGGGAGGTCTGCTGACCGTCGTCTTTTGAATAGGGGAGCAGACAGAAGGAAGCTAAAAGCTAAATGCTCTTTAGGAATGGTATTCTTTGTTTGTGTAAAATAATTTTGGGAGCATATTTAGCTTTGTTTCTGAAAGAAATTATGTGTGTGTGATTGTTTTTGTCTTTCCCTCTAACTTTTGAATCCACTCATTCTGTGGCTTGCAGGGTCATTAGATGCCTGTTAAGCCAAGCCAGCTGCATCCTCTATCTGGTCTTTGTCCAGTGGAAAGGGGAAAGAGGAGACAAAATATAAAAATCTCTAGGAAATTAGAGCACATTAGTTCTGCTGCTGACAGGAATGTGTGCTCATTATAACAGCAAATTCTTGCCAAATTGTGTTTTAAATGTGTTTTGAGTTTTTAGATCTGAAATCTCGCCACACTGTGTATATCTCTCCACATCTATATTTGCCTTTACTAAAGCTTGTGACTCAATCAAAGTCTTTAAAACTTTTTAGTTTGATATAGGCATTTTTAAGGTCCTTAACTTAGCAGTTAGAAGCCTGTGGTGTTCCCTACTAGCGCTAATGAAACAAGTGTTAAGAAACCGTTTAGTATGTTAATTTTTTTTTTTTTTTGTCTTGAGCTGCTAAAACAGGAGCAAACATGCCTTTGGACAGGCTGCCTGTCTTAGACCTTAGACTCATGTCAGGTTTGTGTTCCTGCTGTGGCTGAGATGGTTTAAGAAGGTACTGTCTTCAGCTGCTTGTTTTGCTCTTCCTCCCCGAGTTCTGCTAGCATACCTAAACAGCATGTCACTTCTCAGCTCTGTTCTGTCAAATGATCTGGGTTAAATGCTTACCAGTATTTTTCCTTCCAATGCAGAGAACTTCTGGCAGGAGGAATTAAGAAGTGAAGACATGTAGTTATGTTAGTTGTTGAGGGGTCGGAGAGATGTAATGAATTTTAACAGAAGATCGTAGACCCCTTGCCTATCTCTGCTGCAGCCACAAACATACCTGAAATATATATAAAATATTTAAGAGTGGAATTATTTAGTTTTGGTAGAAGGCATTCCTAAAATTGTAGGCATTTGAGATTGTGAAGGCAAGGTGAGAAGGGGGAAAGAAAATAATTTTATTACAACAGAATTCAGTAAACCTAAGTTTATGCTTCATGCAGGTTATTTTTATATAGTTCGAATCTTAGTGAGGCTAAATCATGTTTTCCATTAGAAAAAATATTTTTGCATACAATGTTTAAGTATTTGAAAGTAGTGTATTGTAACTGAACAGTTCTTCATACTACTAGTTTCTGAATATAAATACTTTGTGATTTGTAGGGATAACTTGAAAATGGAATTCTTTCCAGCCCTTTTTTCTTAAAAAAAAAAAAAAGGAAAGGCGTTTAGTTGATTCCTTTTCTATCTTCTATATTGTCTTAATTTGACTTTATTTGTTGATGTTGACTTCGTTGACAGGAAAGCAAAATAACTGTAAAATCCCTTATTTTAGAAAGCGCTATTTTGAAGTTTTGTTTTGTGAAGCATTGCGTAGTCCATGGAACTATGGACTGGTTTTGTATTAAAAGAGAATTGAACCTTTGAGGTATTTAAAACCTACAGTAATGTTAATTTTTTTTTTTGTTGCCATTTGGAGCCAATTGTCCTATCAGATCATTGGGTAGGATGTTGATTTATCTTACAGGTTACCCTCAGGATGTATAGCTGAACCATTAGGAATTAATTTAGTAGGTGTTGCTACAAAACTGTTTGTTGGTTTGGTTTTTGGTTGTTGTTTTTGTTTTGTTTTTCTGCAGACACACAATACCGTGTGCATATGCAATGGCCAGCTCTAAAACTGGTACTGCTTGATGTGCTTACATTGTAAGTGCTTCTGTAGGATTCTGTTTTCTGTGCATTCAGAGTTCATCCAGCAGTTTGTCACCTATTGCATTAGGATGGCTGGGATGCTGGTAACAGCATTACTATGGCTGATAGTGGTTTGAAAGGCAAGCAGTTGTAGACTTTTGGGGAAAGTTCCTTGTAAAGTAATGGCTGGAGAATTGTTGGTGGTCTCTGCCTGTCCTAAGCGTTTCTTCCTCGTAGTCTCCATGATGTATATTCAATAAGCATGTTACTTTGAAATGAAGGGCTTTTTCATCTAATTCTTCAACTCTCAGGAATAATTTTAGAGGATGTCCACATTTAGAGAACTTGCCAGCCAGGAAGCAATGATGAATGCTGTAGCTCTGTATTACTTCATAGACTCTGCTGAGTCTGGCACCTAGTACTTGATTTCTGTAGCGCCAAACATAGACTTTCTCTTCCCCAAACATAAGCATTAATTAAGTGCCTTGTTTTATTTTTTTGCGTTGCTATTTCTTTACTTTTCCTATAGATTCATGAGATTGTAATGTTGGGAATGAGTCTGCAGAAAGAAATCGGTTGACAAAAAGATCAATGTTAAGGAAAGGGTCTTTGTGAAGTGGAGAGTGTGGTCATACCTTACTTCGTTGTTGTATTCTGGTGGTATTTAGAGGTTGATAGGACTTCAGTGTTCAGGAAGGGAGGGAAAACCCCCTGATTTTTATCTCTTCTGATGGTTTGTTTACACTGATCATGAAACTGATATGTCAGTGTTGACCATGCTCTGTTATGGTAATCTGAAGTGCAAAAGCAGTGTGCTGCAAGTTGGTTTTTTTTTTTTATATATTTTTGCTTACAGAATAAATGTTAAGGCACACATAAGGTAAGACCAGCAGCCTCAGAACGTGTAGTTTATATTTCGTAAAAATTTTTGCTTAGGTATTCTGTGTAATGCTAACACTTTTCGGCTGAGATTTTTCCCTCAAAATTGTGGTATTTAATGAAACAAAATTTTAGTTGAATCAACCTGGAGGTATACTTGAGCTTCATACAGGGTACTAATACAGTCATCCATTAAACCTGAGTAAACTTCTATATGGCCATAATGTAAGGGCCTTTGGCAGACATCTGTTTTGTTTCGTGTGTTACTTTACATTATGATCTGAAGTAGCTGTATGTATGTAATTTGTTGATATTTGACTGTGCTGTAGAGTTCTTTGGGGAATTTCATAGGGCTGATATTAAGGACAGTGTGGCTTTTTTGTTGTATTTCTTGTTGATTTTGTCATGTTTCTTGTTGTTTGAGTCAAGGTATGAATGTGTATAATAGCTGCTATTGCTTTTGTCTACTTTTTTTTTTAAGGTCCAGACTGCAAGGAATATTTTTTTAATCTATTCTTACTCGTTGAAAAAATAAGTTGTTCCTCATAGTCAGGTGGAAAGTTGTAAATTGCCTCAGGGAAGGCAATCTAATACATTATGAAATGGTGAAATGCGAGTAGCAGTGTTGAAAACAGGCTGGGGTGATGGTTGACAACAAACCGTAAGTGACCATGCAATGTGATCCGTTGGCAAAGAAGGCCACTTGAATTCTCTGCTGGGTACGCAAAGATGCATGACAGAGTGGGGACAAGCCTTTGAAATACTTTGTACAGTTACAATTGCAAAAAATGTTTTGCCTCGTTTGATAAATTTTCAACTCTAGAGACTACCATTAAGTGTGTCTAAATTTCAGTAGCTTGGAGGCAGCTGTTCCAAAAAATGTGTTTGTTTTGTAGGGTTTGTTTATGGTTATGTGTTTTATTATTTGTTTTTAAGGTTGTGTCCATCTTGTCACAAACACTGTTACATATATGCAGACAGACGGGGGGGTTTTTTGTACCCATTAGTCAGGTGTCAGTTACAACAAAGGTACTTCTGTAGCAGCCAGGCAACAACAGTAGTTGGCTTAGGGACGAGTACAGTGATTCAGTGCAGAGTGGGATGGCCCAGTGATCAGACTGTTAATAAAGGGACAGAAAAGAACCCGTCTAAAAACACACTTTGTTGATGTTTATCTTAGGAATTAAAGCTACACAGAATGTAAAAATGCACAATTTCCGAATTTTTATTTAACTTTTAATTTTTTTTCCTGTTTGTTTTTTTCCCTGTGTGTTTGTGGTTGTGGTGTTGGTTTTTCCCTTTTTTTTTTTTTTTTTCCCCTTTTTGATTGTGTGCTTGTTACCATCTGTTGTTAGATTTCTAGGACTTTGGGCTGTTGACTGCTTTTTCTAGTTAGTGAAGAATTAATCCTCTAGTGTTGGTACATAAGTCAGATCTTTTATTTGCTAATCGTACTTGCAAGCATCTTAAATTTCTGACATGATTTGTTCCAGAAGATTAGCAGCTCTTGGCAGTGATCCTAGAGCTTCTGAGAGTAGTTTTATAACTTCTGAGAAACTTAAGATAATGTGTATCAGTGCAAAATGAAAGCATATCCTTGTGGGGACTTGGAAGGTTGTTGCCTGCACTTAAGAGAAGCCTGACTCTGAGGTCGGGTAATGATAAGAATTTGCTGTCTAACTTGTTTTTTTGAAATGCATAGATATTTCCTATGACGTTTTAATTTCAGAGATGAAATACGAAGGTTCAGATATGTGCACCCAAAACCAGTTTTGATGATAACCTTTGTCTAAACACCTGTTAAGTATGACTTTGAGTATGTAATACTGTGGATTAGAAATGTGCCCATGAAATACGGAAACAGGGAGTTTTGCTGGTTTTTGAGCTTCAGACTTCTGGTCAGTTCACCGTTTTCAATTTGTCTTCATTTTTCTTGATACTTTATATAACAAAGGTGAACACCCATAAACCAATATCTTTCTCTGATTCTCAGATGTGAATGAGTTGAAGGAGTGCCTTCACGTACTAGTGAAGGAACAGCAAACTCTGGCCACACAAACTGCTACAACAGCTCTTTCAGCTATGAGGCTAAAGCAGAGGCTGGTTATCCTGGAACGATACTTCATTGCATTGAACAGAACAGTTCTTCAAGACAATGTCAAAGTTAAGTGGAAAAGCAGTAGTATTCCTCTGCCAGCTGTGGATAAGAAAAGGTAACACGTGCATGAACAGGTTAATACATTAGGAAGGTCATATACAAAGGTTATCAACCTGTGTGTGAGAGCTTAATGTGGTTTCTTCCTCCTAGTGAAACATAAGCAGCAAAGAAACTCTTCTTATTTTTTAAGATGGTTTTATGTGGTGTTATCTGCCATCCTGCTTGGCTGATGCTTGCTTGTAGTGTCTGTGTTTGTACTGTTTTTATTGATCTACATTGCTGTAGGTGCTATTCTTTGAGCTTTAAATATACTTTTATTGAGATATTAATTTTCTTCTACTCAGCTAGACAGTATGGAGAAGCCTATTTCAGAAATGATGCTGATGTAGGTTGCACAGTTCTGATAACATTAATATATTTTTTGTCAATATTTGCTCAGTTGAGGCACAGAAATTAAAAAATACAAATACATAGAAGTTGAACATAGTTTTCCTTAGCTTGGGTGAGAAATGCTGTAATTGTACATTTTATATGAAATTGTTTACAGAGAGCTAACTGAATAAGAAATTGATTACTTTCCATGTCTAGATAGTTTATTGACCTAAAAATAGAGAAATCTTATCAGATGAGGCATTAAAGAAGCTATTCAGTAACTGAACAAGGTTGCTGTCTGACAGAACAAGCAATTTGGCCAGGGAGATTTTTATGTTAAATTGTCTCTAGCTTCAAAAATGGAAGGAGATAGTAAGTAGATATCATGAGTAGTTATTATGGGATTGTAGTTCTGACAATGGTATCTTTCTCTGAATAGTCTGTTCTCTGAAAATTTTTTTTCAGTTCTAATTAAAAAGAGTTTAAATTTTTTCTTTCTTGAAAAAGTCCTAAGCAGTTCACTTTCTTTTGATGTGAGATTAAAAAGAAAACAGAATTGTTGGTGTCTTTCTGAGAGTAAGCAGTAGGGAATTGCCTGTTAAGTACAAAGGAAAGATTACTTAAATTCATGTGATTGTTTGCATTAAAAATTACTGGTATTTCTTTTATTGTAATTGTTTCACTAAAGCTGTTGTTTTAGTTTTCTGACCCATAAGTCTGTCTCTCTCCCTTATTCTCTTTCTCTTCCCCTTCTGGGAGGGGAGAGGGGTTACTAAGAGTGTAACTCATATGTTAGTGGCCAGCCCAGCCTCAACCCCTGACACTTCCCTACACACACCAATATAGAAGCTGCAAAGAGAGATTCGTAATATTGATACTTGAATGGAAAGATAAGAAATGAAAAAATTGATGGAACTAATTATTGGTAGTTGAGGAGTCATAAAAAATGCCTGTAAGCGTAGCTTATGCAGTCCAAATTAACTAGAAATATAAACTTCCTGAGTAAATAATGAGTACATGAAGTGTCTTACATCTGTAAGATATATTTTGAATACACCATAGTTTCACTCTGAGTAACTACAGCCGTCTTTCTGATGGCAGTGATGTCAGTCTAGTCTGTTTTTCCTCTGTGAAGCTTTGTCATGTTGAGGGTTGAATTGGTTGTTCTTTGAAGCAGCTGAAGATGAATTTTTGTTGTTGACATTTTGGTCACCTTCATTTTCAAGAGACAATTACAGTTCTTTACGAATAAAAATTTTATCATTATATATGCGTACACATAGCTAAATTATAAAATTGTTGAATATACAAGGTATACAAATAATTACTAATATAACTATATATTATTATTATTACATAAATTGTATTGAGACAATAAGTATGTAATTTTATTTAGCCCAAGACCTGTAGGCAAAGGCGTAGAAGGACTTGCGCGTGTTGGATCCCGAGCAGCACTTTCATTTGCATTTGCGTTCCTTCGTAGAGCCTGGAGGTCAGGTAGGTTTGATCTGTAGCATATTGCATGCATTTTTCATTAGAAGACAGTTGATTCATTAAAGTGTGTGTGTGTATTAAATATTTGCATAGAACTACACAGTTATAAATGTTAGATTTGCATAATTGTGTTTTATGTTTATGTGGTATTATGCCCAACAGTGCTGTTACTGATCAAAGCTATTGAAGCCAACCATCCAAGCCAATACAAACGCTGTGTTGTGCTGGGATACTTTTATGCTTAGGAAGGCAAATTGAGATTTCATGAAGAGAATGTATTTCTAATTCCAGGTTTCAGGAAAGTTAGATTTATTCTTTGGGCAGGGTAGATCCGCTGTATTACTACATGACAGTAGCAGATTAAAAAAGGAGTTTGGAGCAGTAGTGTGAAAATTGTGTTTAGTTTGTGTACTTGTCAGTGGTTGTCAAATTGCAGAGCTTGGCACACTTGTCATCTGTGCCACTTTAACCTACCTGTTTGTATCAGTCTGCACTGTTTGTTCAGATGGCAGCTGTTTGGCTCCCTCTTTGCCTAGCACTTTCTAGTTGTTCTTCTGATTTCCTCGGCAGGTGCATAGTGGGATGAGCTGGTTTAAGAGTTGTCACCTTTCTGAATATGTTTTTTGTTAAGCAGTTTTTCAGAAGTCTTGCAGTCAAAATGTTCATTTGAAAATTGAGAACTTTGTACATGTTATTAAGTAACTTGGAAGCTTGAGGGTAAAAGAATCCATAAAACATTGTATATGAAAATTTGTGTAACTTTTGTAAAGATGGCAGTGTAACTACGACTACTGCGTTCCTTAGGTGAAGATGCAGACCTGTGCAGTGAATTGTTACAGGAATCACTTGATGCACTACGAGCTCTACCAGAGGCATCACTTTTTGATGAAGGGACTGTATCTTCTGTATGGCTGGAAGTGGTGGAAAGAGCTACTAAATTCCTAAGGTCTGTTGTGACTGGGTAAGTTTCTTTTTTTGAGCTTCGCTGAAGTAGCTGTTAGATGGTAAACTTGCATCTCGTAGCAGCTGATGGTATAAACATAATAGTTTATGGAAGATTAAAAAGATTGTTTTCCTTTTCTAACCTCATACAAGCAAGCATGCAATACATGAACGGTTGAAATGATGCTCTTTAAATAATGATTTAATTCCTTTAATTGTTTCAGAAGAATTGGAATTTGACTATTTGGAATTGCTGCATGTAGACTTACCTGAAAAATAGTGTTTCACTAATGTAGACTGAATCCGTATGAAGAGTGCTGTGGTAATACAATATAGGTGTACACTTAATTGTGCATTTCTAGTATAGGAAAATAATGCAGACTTCTGTGCATATGAGGGGAAAATACGCTCATATTGGACTTAGAGCACTCCCCCACTTTTCCCTGTTAATTGAGGAGGCTTAAAGTTACCACTTTACAATAGTTACCAGAAATTAATTGTCTCTTGAATACTGGAACTACATCCTTATAGTGAAAATCACAAAGAATATTGAATTTCACTGTCAAAAATGTTTTTCATGTTCTTAGCATATTTAATAGAGCTATAGAGTAGGTAGTGAAGCTTCGGGCAATTGTGAAAGCCTAACTGCCGCTCTAAAGATTGGTATTGTGAAGAATGCGTCAGCTTTTCTCAGCTGCTTTCATCACCAATTTTGTATTTTTTGGTCAGTTTAGTGGTTCTTGGTGTGTTGTAGATGCTTTTGGTAAGCATATTGTTTCTAATTACTTCTTAATTAATGTATATTGTTTGACTTAGAGATGTGCATGGAGCTCCCAGTACCAAAGGGCCAGGAAACATTCCGTTACAAGACCAGCACTTGGCACTGGCCATATTGCTAGAACTGGCAGTGCAGAGGGGTACGCTGAGGTAAGACGTGTAAGCATGCTGATTTTTAACCATCACTGTCTGTTGAAACGGCCTGAGCAGTGCCTGTCTTCAGTTTTCATGGGTTTAAGTTTAATGTAATAATTATTGTTCAAAGCATATGAACCTTTTCTGTAATGCAGTGGCTAGATTGCAAAATCTATTTTTGGTATTTCGATAATCTGTTTAAAATGGAAAGCTGTGACATCTGATATTACTAAACTTAAAAATGTAGAAAGTGAATTGTATGGATAACCTAAAATAATGTTTTTAGCAATGCTTATTGATAGAAGATGTAAACTTTCTCTTTCAGCCAAATGTTGTCCGCAGTTATGTTGTTGCTTCAACTTTGGGATAATGGAACGAGGGAAACTGATAATGAGCGATCTGCACAAGGAACAAGTGCACCCCTTCTGCCTTTGCTACAAAGATTTCAGAGTATAATATGTAATAAAGATGTGCCCAATACTGAGGAAGAAATTCAGGTACTTACCGTTGGATTATTTGAAAGGATCATTATGTTATCAAATTTCAATTAGCTGACTAAAACAATTATAAAGTTATCCAAACAAATTGGCAGTGGTGTTTTCCATGCAAGATGTGTATACACAACTGTTGTTTGGTTTTCACGTGTTCGTTTGAGTTTCTTGAGCTAGGAGGAGGAATGTCATGGTACGGTTAGCGGTGAGCATTGTGCTTCAGAGTTAATGCTTTTGTGAGATGTGGACAGTTAACTTTTCTGCATATTGGGATTGTTTTTATTTAGTTGAATTTAACTATGACTCCTAGTGAATATTACTGAGGTTGATAAAACGTGCGTTTTAGTATGTTTGTAAGTTTTTATTATATCCACAATCTGACTATATTTTCCCAATGCGTGTTTGGAATTTCCTCTACTGTCAGAAAAAGGAATGTGCAGAGTTAATTTGATTTCTCTTAAACTTGTGTGGATACTCAGTATGTCTACAATATATTGTGTATCTGTACATGTAGTGGCATAGAAATAACTTGAATATTCGTCTGACTGTTTTTTTTTCTTTTCTAGCTCCTGACTTACCCTCTGAGTCCAAATGAAAGTTTTCTAAGGTATCTGACTTTACCACAGGACAATGAGCTAGCGATTGATCTGAGACAAACAGCTGTAGTGATCATGGCCCATTTAGATCGTCTGGCGACCCCATGTATGCCTCCACAGTGTAGCTCTCCTACGTCTCATAAGGTAACTGTTTGCAATGTCAAATTTTTCCTAAAACCGTAACTGATTTTCAATTTGGAAGGAAAACGACTCCTAAGATTCTTCAAATTTCCTTTTGATTTTCACAAGGTAATCTTGAGTTGCCTAAGTTTGCCATAATTTGGTATCTTTTATTACGTTGGCCCTCTTCCGGTCAGCCTTGGAGTACAATTATATGGCTTGTGAACCGTTCTTTCTTACCGCAACGCTATGGCTAATTCTGCCATAGTTTGAGCTGTTCCCTGTGTTTATCAGAGTAAAGGCTCAAGACCAGACTTTATAAATATTTGGGGTCTGACGTATTTAAAAGAAAGAAAAAAGGAAATGTTAAAACTTCCCAACTTGAAAAATCTCTGGACCCTTACTGTAGGTATTTATAGCTTTTTCAGTACCAGACTAAACTGAATATGATGCATGCAAGTCTTTATTTTTTTTTAATATCTTCTAATAGGTTAGCTTTATTGACGGCTGGCAGTAATGACTGTCACAAATTTGAGTATATTTGGCATATAAAGGTTTAAAAAATAATCTGCTCTATGCATTTTGTTAAGTTGCATATTTCAAAATTCGTACTTACAGAATTTCTTATTTTCTAGGGATCTCTGCAAGAGGTTATTGCTTGGGGTTTAATAGGTTGGAAATATTATGCTAATGTGAGTGGTCCAATTCAATGTGAAGGACTCGCCAATCTTGGCGTTGTGCAGGTTGCCTGTGCAGAGAAACGTTTTCTAATATTATCTAGGAATGGACGAGTGTATACACAAGCGTACAACAGCGATACTCTGGTGAGTATCATAGAATAAATGTGCTCCTTTAAGTATTTACAGTATCTTGGAAGAGTAGATGGAGACATGCTGATTTTTATGAGCTTCTGTTTTGTTGTTTTTGAACTTTCAGAAATAATGGTTTTGATTTCTTGTATGGATTGAATGAAATGCATCTGGTTTCTATAATTTCTGTCAGGCTAGAAGTTATGAATACAATGGTAATTGCTTTCACTGGTATATTGGCCTTGGTAACAACTTTAGAAATTGGCAGATATGAAATGGATTTTACTTCAGTGATGTAAGCCTGTGCCCAAACTGTGTAGTTTCTCAAACAAAACTATACTGTAACAGAAACATTTGGCACTAAGATTGACTGTAAGAATAAGATAAACATCATTTTCATATATCCTGGAGACCTTACAAGGATGGTAACAAAAAAGGCATTGACTTTGTCAGACTTGAAAGTGGATTTGACCTTTTTTTTTGTTCTTTGTACCTTCACCTCATTAATTTGATTGCACAGTTTTGGTAAAACCTTAGGAAAACTGTACTTAGTTATTCTGTAAGTAGGCAAGTGATAGAAAATATAAAGAGTTTTTGTAAGTGTGTTGCTTTTGTTTGGTTCACAGGGACCACAACTGGTGCAGAGTCTAGCTTCTAGGAATATTGTGAAGATAGCAGCACATTCAGATGGGCATCACTATCTTGCTTTGTCAGCAAATGGTGAAGTTTTCTCTTGGGGTTGTGGAGATGGTGGAAGACTAGGCCATGGGGATACAGTGTATGTAGTAAAAATACCGTAACATTTATTTGCCAGTGTTCTGAATTCATAGTAAAATCTATTTAGTTGTGTGTATAAGCACATACAGCATTTGACATTCATCTCTGTTAGTGAATAGAAGTTGCATTCTCCCTGCGTGTTTTCTCTGCCTGTAATATTCCCAGTTCTGTGTTAATGCTGCTTTCTGCAATGCTTGTAGATGGAGCATGTAGTAGTGGCTGCACTGCTATTAACTCTTTTATTCATGGTTTTATGAATCCACAACACATTTTGTCTAGAAACATTGACTCACATGTAGGTGTGGGGTCATCATTTGCTATGCAGTTCTTTGAATATATTATTCCTTTTTTTCCCCTGTGTTAAACAGTAGCATAGATTACTGTCCTGCTTTTGTGTAGGAGCAGTCTTCTACGGGGGTATTCTGTAGCGGGTGTACATCAATATATTTTAGACGTTTTAGTTGTCATCCCCCAATGCTGAATTCCCTATAAAGCAAAGAAGTTAGTACACAAGGGTTAGCAGTGTAATGAAATAATTGTTAAAATATAGTCGTTAAAGATAATGGTTTTTTATAATAGATTTTTTTTTTTTAACAAATGCTGCATTAATTTAATTTGAAATAGAAATCATAGTTGTCAGACATTCCTTCAGTGGTTTTTGTGTTGTGGAACAATCTGAACTTAATTTTTGGCTTATAGCTCTATTTACGTCTTGATGTTTCAGACTAGTAATAAGGTTTGCAGGTAGAATTGCAGCAATTTGTTTTCTAACAAGTATGTCACACCTTACTATCTACTCATCAGATCACCTTTTGTGAAATATGTCGTCTTCTTTTTAAATAGCCCTCTGGAGGAACCTAAGATGATATCTGCTTTATCTGGAAAGCAAGCTGGGAAACATGTTGTTCATATTGCCTGTGGAAGCACTTACAGTGCAGCCATTACTGCAGAAGGAGAGCTGTATACATGGGGACGAGGAAACTACGGCAGGCTTGGTCATGGTATGTTCCTTGATATCTTAAAGATAGTTGTTTGTCAAAGAATTGTTTAATGCCTATCTCAAATGATCTTTTATCCAACTTACCTAAAGCTGATTTGAGAACCGTGTGTGGTTTCACCTGGATTGAAATAGTTATGGGAGGGATTGTCGCAAAACCACTAAATTTCTGAGTTATGTGAAAATAGGCAATTGGATGGAGAAGAAAAATCTACACTGGTCTCTGTTCCCTTCCTTGTGAAGCAAAGATTATCTCATGGGTTAAATCCATGTTAGATACTTAAGAAACCATATGGGAGCTTAGTCATGATGCTCAAATCTGAAAACAGAACCAAACCAACACCCCGCCGACTCCCACACCACAAAACACCAAAAAGCAAACAAAAAAAATAACCCCAACAAAAAACCAAAAACAAACCAAAAGAACCTACTAGGCCTTTTTGGTTTTGCTTCTCACAGAACTACTTTTGTTTTGAAGGTTCCAGTGAAGATCAGACCATCCCAATGCTGGTCACGGGGCTGAAAGGACTCAAAGTTATTGATGTGTCCTGTGGGAGCGGAGATGCTCAGACTCTTGCAGTTACTGAAAATGGTTAGTAGCAAAATACAACTTGACCCTTTAAGTGAGCTTACCTTTTCTTCCTTTCATTCTGAAGTTATTTATGCTGCTTATTTCTAGTGGTTTGAATTCTGTAAGAATTTGAAGCTAAAATTCCTTTTGGAGAAGTATATATGTGCATTTATACCTTTTGCATATAAGGTATGCATATATATTTCCATGAATAATGTGCAGTATATTAATTACAAATATGCAAACATACATTTCAATTTATGGCATATATATTTAAAATACACATGTCAATGTATAATACACACACAAAATATTACATATGTGTACATACGCATCTAAATTTTATTCATTATTATATAAGTGCAAATAACTCATTTTGTCACGACAGCCAGAATTTTGAGCAGTAAAGTTGTCTGTGTTAACCCATGCGAAGTGATAAAAGGGAGGCTGTATTGAAATTCTGCTTCTCAGCATCCATGAGCGAGGTGCCTAGGGTGAGACTGATTCAAAACTTGAATTTCACTGTGTGAGGTTAAGCCCCAAAGTCATCCCTTGGAAAGCAGATAGTTCTTGGAAGCTAGCTGTTCTTTTAAAATATAGCTGGTTATGGTTATGTGCAGTATTTAAAAGCTGAAAGATTTACTCATTCAGGAAGTGGAAACCAAGATTTTAATCCCCCCCACGCCTGCCTTGGTCTCCTTCTTGCATGCTTCTATTGCTTATCAGAGTACCTTAGACTAGCTTATGCAAGTAGGGAACGTAAATGCATCCGAATGTAAAATAAGACTTTCTTTTTTGGATGTGCATGGGTTTACCATTCTTGAACCATAATTTTATTTAGCGCAGATGCAGAATGACCTGACTGTTTCTAAGTTCCTACATCAGGGCTTACGTTTAGTAGTGCATTTCAAAACAACATGATAGACAATGGCACTTTCAACTTCATTTTGTGAAATGGTTGAACGACAAGAACTGAAAATTAAAACAGATTTCGCAGACAACTGGCCATTTGATGTGGGAAAAGATTTTGCAAGTTTTTATTCATAACACCTTAGAATAAAAAAGGGAGTTTTTAACTAAAGATCATACTACAGGATTCATTTGCAGTAAATCCTGTACTTCGTATGTTTTTAAGAAGGACTTTCTGTACACTGATGAATTTTCAGTGTGTGTTGTGTTACACTTTTTATGTTTAGTTCTATCAACATGAAGACTTTGCAAATTGATTTCTTCTTATTTTCATGAACAGTTAGAAATTAATTTGTAACGGCTATTCTTAAATTACAATTTGAAAATTGTACTTATAGAATCACTTATAGAGTTTTAAGAACTTGTTTGTCAAAACAGATACATGAGAAAGCAATGCAATATTTTTTGTTTTCTTTCTCTTGATTTAAAGGCCAGGTCTGGTCTTGGGGTGATGGAGATTATGGCAAACTGGGAAGAGGAGGCAGTGATGGTTGCAAGACTCCCAAGTTGATAGAAAAACTTCAAGATCTGGACATTGTGAAAGTACGCTGCGGCAGTCAGTTTTCTATTGCTTTAACCAAAGATGGCCAGGTCTACACCTGGGGAAAAGGTGACAATCAGAGACTTGGGCATGGAACGGAAGAGCATGTTCGATATCCCAAACTCCTGGAAGGCTTGAAAGGTAATTATAAGGGCTGGAAATACTCTTGAAATTCTTTTTGCTGTTGTTGGAATCTTTTACTAGACACTAATGGTATCAACTTTAAGAATGATGATGCCATGCACTCTGTCATATTTTATGCTGGTTGCATTGAAAAAGGTAATAGTTCGCATTTCCCGTCACTTCTGCATTTAAACCTTTAAAATTCTAGCAGACTTAAGAGACCCAATGTTATGCCTACTTTAAATGCTGCTTGTCTTGTGTTCTCTTTATTCTTACTGCTTTTCTTCTATTAGGTTCACAGAAATGCTTATTTAAATATTTTTGCATTGTCATGCAAATGAGTGAATAAATACATATATATATAAAATATAAAATTCTATATGTATGCTTAGATTAAGGCATGTGAGTGAAATGAATGAAAATCACAGGCAACAAGTAATGTCATTACAGTTGTGTTTGTGCCAGTACTTTTGCCTGGTTTGTAACAGAGTGAAGATTATTTTTTGCATTTGTGAGAAACCTGAGGTTCTGTAGGGGAGGGTGAGGAAGGAAAACTTTTATTGCTCTGTCTTTTCTAAAATTGTTATTCATATATGATGAATGATCTAACTGAAAGTAACTTCTGAACTGATGACTATGATGTAACTTTACAGTCTCTATTCATAGTTGGGGAGATCTTTTAATAAAACTTTCCTGAAAAAGTGTCTAAGTAGAAGGGATACAAAATAGAAGATTTTTTTTTTTTAAACTTGTAAACTTACTTAAGCTGTCTTTTAAAAATCTTTAAATATTTCCTTGGTTTTTCTTTTGCTGTACTCTTCCAATCCACTACTAAGGCAAAGGTGAGACTCTTGACATCCATAATGTGTTCACACTTAAGTATGGTTGTAATTAGCACAGTTTTCCTTGCCTCCTGATATTTTTCTTTCAGTGATTGTAATCTTTAAGTTATATTTTCAATATTTGACTTTTCTATCAGGAAAAAAAGTGGTAGATGTGGCAGCTGGATCTACTCATTGTTTAGCACTGACTGAAGATAGCGAAGTGCATAGCTGGGGAAGCAATGATCAGTGTCAACATTTTGATACTTTGCGGATCACCAAACCAGAGCCTGCAGCACTCCCAGGATTAGACACAAAACATATCGTTGGAATTGCTTGTGGGCCTGCTCAGGTAAGTTTTATTTTTGAATTGTTAATTACGATTTGTCTTTGTCTCTCACTGACACTAGTTCTGTACACTAACGCCGGTTCCTCTTTCTGTGTTTACATGACTTTTCTTATTCTTATTTCTTGTTCTCAATAAATGAAGGCTTGGAAGAAACAAATCTTGTCCAGTTTCTCTGCCAAAAAGGGACGACTGACTTTCCTTCTGTTGGGTATTCTGAGAAGTAGCTGTTTACCTGTTTTGTTTTTTATCTGGTACAGCAATTGAAGAGTTGTCGAGCAGAATGTTTCCTGCAGCAAAGATAGTGAGGTATCTGGACTGGCATACCAGCACTTTGGAAAATGTGATAAGAGTTCTGTTCTGGGATTGGTGGGGTTTTATGTATGTTTACAAGGGTGCAAGTGGAGGGTTCTCTTAGCAGATGTGCTGATACTATTTCTACATCTTTTATTACTGTTCGAAGGCAGATGTTGGCTTTAGACGCCTGTCTCTAATCAGTGTCATCTTCTATTTGGGAAATAACTGTTGAACTTCATATATTGTTTCCATTTATAGAGTTTTGCTTGGTCATCATGTTCAGAATGGTCAATAGGCTTGCGAGTGCCTTTTGTGGTGGATGTTTGCCCCATGACATTTGAGCAGCTAGATCTGTTACTAAGACAAGTGACAGAGGGGATGGATGGCTCCTCTGACTGGCCCCCTCCTCAGGAAAAGGAGTGTATGGCTGTGGCAACATTAAACCTTCTAAGGCTTCAGGTACCTTCAATTTCTTGCACGTTGAGTAGTCGTTAAGCTAAATGTTTCAGTAAATTGCTTGGAAATAGTGGATTTAATGTGCTTTAAAACATTTTTATTGGTTTAGAAAATAAAATAAGTATAATATCACTTTCTACTCTTTGAAATTTGTCAGCTAGTGTTTTTTTTTCTTCTCAACAGCTTTTTGGATCTCATTAAAAATAACTATAAAAATAAAATGTCAATGGATTAAGTGTTGTGTAGTCATTCAATAAGCCCATACACTGAGAGATTTTGAGCATTTCTAAGAAATTTAAATGGCATTTTTAAGAGTGGATGTCCTCTTTAGAGGGTATCTGACAGTCACTGAAGATGTGTTACTTTTAGCATGCTGTCATAAAACAGAAACAGTTTAGGTTATTTTTAGGTGGTTATAGTTCAGAGTTTTAGGGGATGTAATTAAATATAGTTCATAGTCTTTGAGTATTAGCTTAAATTCAATATGGGTTTGGGCAAGATAGCATTTCCCTTTACTTTTACAAATTTACAGATGAAAGTTTGTGTCTTGGTCAGTGAACTTACTCAATTGCTCCAGGATTGACTTTTTTTTTTTTTTTTTTCCCCCTTTCTTCTTTTCAGCTTCACGCTGCCATTAGTCATCAGGTGGATCCGGAATGCCTTGGCTTAGGTTTGGGCAGTATCCTGCTCAATAGCCTGAAACAGACAGTGGTAACATTAGCAAGCAATGCTGGTGTTCTTAATACTGTGCAATCGGCCGCTCAAGCAGTGCTGCAGAGTGGATGGTCTGTGTTACTGCCAACAGCAGAAGAGCGGGCTAGGGCGCTCTCAGCGCTCTTACCCAGTGCAGGTTGGTCCTAAGACTTAAACCTATTTGTTTTGTGCTTGCATTTCTAGTTCATTAATAGCTTCTTCCATTCTTAGTTTCAGGAAATGAAATGAATGTAAGTCCAGGCCGTAGATTTATGATTGACCTCTTGGTGGGCAGCTTGATGGCTGATGGAGGCTTAGAGTCTGCGCTGAATGCTGCTATCACTGCAGAAATTCAGGTATGTTTCAGCAGCTTTGCAGTTCTGTATAAACAGAAGAAGAAAATCTATCAAGTGTTTTCTGAAGTTTGTGGATTGATGTTATCCTCTTTTGACCTGAAACTTGAGCTAGTGTTTGTATGGAAGCATGAATCATATTCTCCTTTTAGTAGAGTGTTTCTTTTTGTTGGCTAGAGTGGTGATTTTAACAACAGTAACAAACTTCTTCAAAAAGCCCTTTAATAGAAAAATTTTACAAAGCGCTGTGTACCTTTCTATGGGATTCTTTATTTCACCTGTCTCTCCAGCAGAAATTTCATCCATATTACTTACAAATTCAAGATGGATGAATTCTTTGCAGCATCACAAATTTCCATAGGTTCCATTTCAAACTGGTTCAGATGTTTAACAGCTGCTGACTAGTTATACAAAGGATGAAAGAAACATTCTGCGTGTACTGTCTTTATTAGCCTCCAGGAGATGGGACATCTTCTGCACAGACTGCTTTAAATTGCCATATTTATGTATGTCTGTGGAAACAAAAATATGCTTTTCCCTTGCCTCTTCATTTGTCTGATTCTTCTAAATACATTTTCTTCTTGGTTTCTGTCCACTGGTGATAAGTGGGGAGGTTTATGAGGCAGAGCAAATACATATATTAAGTTTTGCTTTAATACATAGACTAGCATTAGCATTTGCTGTTGTATTTAAATACATGCAGGACCTCTTGGTTCTTAACCAAGTCTCCTGGGGCATGTTTATGTTACAGCGTAGGTCAGATATGCTGGAGCCAACTTCTGATACATGCTGAAAGTGATCTAGGTGTCAGCGTACAGCACCGCACAGGTTAATTTATGCTGTCTAAAACTTGGGTGAATTAATTTCCGTAGAGTGCTGTATGACTATAGCTCAGTAGCAAATGTAACCCAGGTTCTTTTGCAGTGGGCTGTATTTGTTACTTTTATAAATACAGAGTAAACATGTCTTCAGTTGTGAACTGTGCAGCAGCTACTGGCATGTTTAAACATACATAGAACAGAAATCAATTGTTAACTTAGCTTGTTGGGAACTGAATGTGGAGTTGTGGAGTTTGTCTCCTCTTGTTTACCTTCACACCCCCAGCCTCCCCTTTCTTTTTATGTTATAATTGTTTAAAAAAACTTGTGCCCATGCAGTTGTTACGGAATATACCATACACATTTGTCTGGTAGGAATTGTGTTATTTCTGGTATAGGTAAAAGTAATTTTATCTTGTTACCCTGGATAATTGTTAGTAAAATGTTTTGTAATGACAGTAGCAGTTTGCATGTTTTCTTTAACTTGATTTGATTTTTTTTTAGGATATTGAAGCAAAAAAAGAAGCACAGAAAGAAAAAGAAATTGATGAACAAGAAGCAAATGCATCAACACTTCACAGGAGCAGGACTCCATTGGACAAAGACCTTATTAATACTGGAATCTATGAATCTGCAGGAAAACAAAGTTTGCCATTAGTTCAGTTAATTCAGCAGTTACTAAGGTAATTGCTTTGAATTTTTTACTTTTTGCTTTTATTTTTATACAGGAGATCTGTTTAGAAGTTTTATGTACTAGTCAACTAAAGGATGACTAATTTTGATTAGTAAATAAGTAGTCTTCTGCTAGCATTTTAACTCCTCCGAATTCAAAATATTGATCATTCTCCTAGCTGGTCTATAGTTCTGCCGTTTTACGTTTGCTAGGGAGCAAAGTTCTATAGTTAATTACCTGATTTTAGAAAGACTTACTGCCTTGCTTTTATGAGTTTCGATACTTCTTCCTGTAGTCTGAAAGTCTGTGTAACAAATAACAGGACAAACATTCAAAAGCCTCTCCTTACAAAGTATGAGAATCAGCCTAGATTTCTTTAGAACTGAGTGCTTTGACCTGTTTATTTAGAATGGAATATTTTGCCTCAAGGAGACTGTAGCCAGGGCTGTAAGTGAGGAAGAAACCTGAATTTTAAATTCTTGACACTGAGAAAGAACTGTGAATGCATGACCAATAGGATCCAATAGGATGTTAAGAACAAAACTTCTTTGTCAGCTACAGCAGTATTTAATATGTAGCATATGTACCAGGAAGTAATTAGGAGATTATTAAGATATTTATTGTGCTTTTTCACTTAATTCTGATGGTAACCATGTAATTTAATCGGTACAGAGACTCTTTTGAGCTAATAGTGCCGTGACTTTCATTGCAGCCCTTCACTGAAAATTGTCAGATTATGTTTTTTTGTAGTGAGTGATGACAAAAAAAAAAAAAAAATTTATGAATCCTTTAAACAAAATGCCTCCACAAAAACCATTGACGTTTTGGGTACTATGGTGCAAACAAGGGAACATCCTACAAAGAAACTTCGCATAGGTTTCTTATAACGTTGTGTGAAATTCTAGCAAAAGCTTAACCTGTGTTTCTGTGAACTGTCTTCACTATCGGCTCCCTTTAAGTAGTTTACAATACTTTTATACCAATTAGGAACATCGCTTCACAGACGATAGCCAAACTGAAAGATGTTGCTCGTCGCATTTCTTCCTGCATGGACCATGAACATTGTAGCAAAGAGAGATCCGCTTCTCTGGACCTGTTGCTCCGTTTTCAGCGTCTGCTTGTTAGTAAACTTTACCCAGGAGATTGTGTTGGGCAGGTCCCTAATACATACAGTAAGTTATTATAAAAACAAACAACCAAACAACCAAAACAGCCCCTCCCAGCATTTTTGTAATACCTCTTAATTTATCTTGTCTCATTTATCAGCTGAGTTGCTGAGTCTGTCTGAGAAGTCTTTGAAAGCAGCTTTTTTGAGTTGCTTTCTGTAAAAGAAAATTTCTCTTTGGAAGCTAACAGGATCCAGATAACAAAATTTTTGAAAAGATGTGGTTTCTTAATTCAGTGCTAATACTGAGTGGCTGCATTTCAGAAGAGTTTGACAGCTTTCGAAATTTGTTTCTTAAATATGACTATGGAGTGGTTTTCTGTGCTCTTCCTCTGTTTTATACAGGCCCTGACCTCTTAGGTGTTGGTTCTTTACTGAAGAAATACACGGCTCTTCTGTGCACTCACATTGGTGATATACTTCCTGTGGCAACCAGCATTGCTTCTACTAGTCACAGGCATTTTGCAGAAGTATCTCATGTTGTGGATGGAGATTTAACAGGTAGGTTTTTCTTTGCTGCTCTCCTTCCCTTCCCTTCCATGAAATTGCAAAGTTATTGTAGATGTTCTTGAAAGTTCTAACTGACTGAAAAAGAGTCAATTTAATATTTTGATTAATGGGAGAGAAGGAGGGCAAATTTGATGAGGAAGGCAAGAGCTTTGTACTAAAGCAGTAATAGAAGGTAGAGTGTATTGCTTGGTGATTTATTTCCAACATAGGTCTTGAATTAAAACTCGATATCTTCTGTGTTTTAGGCATTCTTCTTCCAGAATTGGTGGTTTCTATAGTGCTACTCCTCAGTAAAAATGCTGGATTAATGCAGGAAGCTGGTGCTATCCCTCTGTTGGCTGGCTTGCTAGAACATCTGGACAGATTTAACCATTTAGCCCCTGGAAAGGAAAGGGATGACAATGAGGATTTAGCATGGCCGGGAATAATGGGTATGTACTAGTAGCATCTGGACTGTTTATTTATGTTTTCGTAAAGTAGATATATAAAAAACTGTGACTGTTCACAAATGACTCTCAGGAAGGGAATTCTACTTCATAGTACAAAGTTTTATTAATCAATTCATATGGCAGTATTTATTTTGATCAATAAATTCTTAGGGAAATTATGTACAGAGGTAGGATTAAGCAGAGCACAAATGCAACTTCTTAAAGTAGTTCACATCATTTTGCGTTTTGAGTGTGAAAAGTTGCAGTGAAAACGTGAGTAGCATTTTGTTACTAAGTTCTATCAATAACATAAAGGGAGAGTAATGTGAAAGCTTTGAAATAAGGAAGTTTTCCCAGGGCACTTGGTAATATGAGTGGTGTCTGGGGTGAAAAGGGAAGCAGAAAACCTGTGTTTCTGACTGTCAGCGTTTTACAGGTGGAGAGAGGAATGAAACATGTTTGGCATAACCCAGGAGAGCTAAAGGTCACACTGCTAGACAATAGTGTGTTGGGGAGAGCAAAACCTATGTGAAAATTCACCTGCTGGTCTAACAGAGCAGACTGATGTGAAGACACGCGTGTGTGCAAACGTTACTCTGATGTTACTTGCCTGGATGAAATTATCTTTAGTTTGAAATAGTTTACTGATACGTAGATTGGAACAGTTCAAACCTTCCTTCTTTTATTTTAAAAAATTCTGGATTTGGGCTGAAATTAAATATACAGCCTTGCAGGCAAGCATGTAATAAAACTGTAGTAATTTTTAGGGACAACTGACTAGAGCAGTGATTTTGTCAGAACGCTGATTGTTCTTCTCCACCTCCAAACAAAACAGCCGTATAGTTGAGCAATGCTAGGTCTTTGGCAGTGTGACGCTGGAGATTAGTGCATAAAAGGATAAAGCATACAGAGAATTTAATTGCGTAAGATGTAGATGGGAACATATTAATAACTGTTTTGACTTTTGAGCATATTGGAAGGCAAAGCAGGCTTTGAACAGAAGTGAAGAATTTGGTTAGGCAACTATTAAAAAGAAGTTCAGAAAAAACTTTAGTTTCTGTTTTCCTGTTGATAAATTTGCTATTCTGTTGTATATCTGTAGGTTCATTTTTTACTGGCCAGAGCTGCAGAAATAATGAGGAAGTGACACTTATACGTAAAGCTGATCTAGAGAACCACAACAAAGATGGAGGATTTTGGACAGTGATTGATGGGAAAGTGTATGACATAAAGGACTTCCAAACCCAGTCTTTAACTGGCAATAGTATACTTGGTGAGAATCAGCAACTGAATTGAAGACACAAATTACTTGTGTTTCAAAACTGTATGGCATAAACAGGTTTTTAGATATTATACTGACGACTACATTCTTTCTTTAGCTCAGTTTGCAGGTGAGGACCCAGTTGTTGCTTTGGAAGCTGCTTTGCAATTTGAGGACACGCGGGAGTCAATGCATGCCTTTTGTGTTGGCCAGTACATGGAGGTAAAAATGTTCTATGCTGTGGATACACACTTTCTAAAGTAAAATATTACTTTGCTTTCAAAATTCTTGTCAGAGCTCAGTTCTAGCTTTCAACTCCTATTTCTTTTAATTAGCCTGACCAGGAAGTGATTACCACACCAGACCTCAGTACTTTGTCATCACCTCTAATAGACACAGAAAGGAATTTGGGTCTTCTCCTTGGACTGCACGCTTCCTACCTGGCAATGAGCACACCACTTTCTCCTCTGGAAGTTGAATGTGCCAGTAAGCAGAACTTCATTTTGAGCTTAAATAAGTGATAAATACTTGTCAAAGCATGCAAGAAAAAGACACAGGCCAAATAAATTAATCGGAAATCTATCACCTCTTTAATCTTGCTGTCTTCTAAAGAAGTTCTCTATTCTAGTGTTAATTACCACACTCATCAATGTCCAGTAATTTAGCGATATTTGAATGGGGATTAGATAATTTTGAACAGTTAAATATCCAGAGTTTTGTAATATGCAAGATAGAGAGAATATTGGAAGAGAAAGGAGACTGTATAGCACAGTTATCTCACTCATTTGTGTTCAGTTAAGAGTACCTGAAGCATCTGGTGTTGGTGAATACAGGGTATAATTCAGTTTTAATCGCAGAAAAATAGCTAAGGCCCTCTTACCTCTAAACAGGTGACGGCTGCCCTGTTATTTAATTTTTCTTAGTTGCAGAACCTTTTTTTTTTTCTGTGACAAAGTTTCAGCAAATGGAAGAGCAGCTAAACCTTGTTTGAAACACTGCATTTCATTTGAGGTAATTGTTGAGTCTTGGTAGCTTAATTTTTCATCAGAATATACATTTGTATTTTCTTCCTTTTAGAATGGTTGAAGTCATCTATCTTTTCTGGAGGCTTGCAAACTAGTCAGATTCATTACAGTTACAATGAGGAAAAAGATGAAGACCATTGCAGTTCACCTGGTAACACTACCCCAAATAAATCAAAACTCTATACACATCGATTAACTTTGAGTGACCATTCACAACCTTTTCTCCAAGCCATTGCAGATAATAATATTCAGGATCACACTGTGAAGGTAAGCCCACAGGAGTGCTGTTCACAAAAAATGTTGCTAAGGGTGATAGTGGTGGCCGAAACCCTTTTGTTGGTGAAAATTCTCCAAAAGTAACAGCAAAAGAATTGAAAAAGTTATTTCAGGATTACTTTTTATGAAGGGGCTGGTTGAGTACTGCTAATGGATAAAATTTGTGTATTTCGTTTAATATCATGACAGTACAGTTTTTTCTTTTGAATTTTTGAGTGGGAGAATTAAAAATTTTAATATATTCTTACCAAAAAAAAATAATTGACAATACTTTACTTTTCCCTGTCAAGTTTTGGTAGTGTTGACAGACCCCGTTCACCTCTAGTTGAACCAAGATAGAATTTTCTTTGTCAAAGTGCAAATGTATTTTGTGTGTCAGGTGCAGGTATGCCTTTGTCTTAAAGTTCCTTTGTGCCTTGGGGTTCAGGTTTCACCTAGTTGGAATTGTGGATATCATGGAAACCCCTAAGATTCTGTAATACCTTCAGGTTTTCTAACCTTTTGAGTTCAGTTCATTTATCAAAAGAACGCAAATAAGTCCTTGGGGGGAGGATAGGGTAGCAATAATGATGAGTCAAGAGAAGACAATTAAAAATTGTGTTAGATGACCTGGCTATCTCAGGAAGAGATAAAAGCAGTAGTAGCTTTGTTCCTTGAGCCATGTTGTTCTTCATACAAGAAGAATGATACAGGTTATTCTTTGTAGTGTTGGGTTGTAACTGCTGTGTACTAAATAGTGCATACTGAGCGTTGTATCTCACTTCTGGATGTTAGTTCAGATTGCGGAGGTTATTCAGGGTTATTTAAATGCTGGCTGCAGTATTTTGGGTCCTTTCATTGTATTTAAAACCAAAGTTAAATAGAGGTTGTTGTGTGTTTTTGTAGGACTTCTTGTGTCAAATAGAGCGATACTGTAAACAGTGTCACTTAACAACACCAATCACATTCCCTCCTGAGCATCCTGTGGAAGAAGTAGGACGTTTGTTATTATGTTGTCTTCTGAAGCACGAAGATTTGGGTAGGTAGGCTTGTGGTATAGCTGTCCTAGAATACGTTTTGGACCAGATTAAACTCTGCTATGGATGATTGTTTTTGGAAATGCGTATTCAAAGGTTGTCTTTTCCCATTAAGGTCACATAGCACTGTCTCTTGTTCATCCTGGTACCCTTGGAGTTGACCAGGTAAAGCACAAAACCTTACCGAAATCTGTAGTGGATGTGTGTCGTGTTGTCTACCAAGCAAAATGCTCACTGATTAAGGTAAGCCTCTTTCCTATTAGATTATTTTTTATTTGACATCTTTTATTAAAAAGTTATATATTGTTCATTTTTTTGTATATTAAACAGTGACCTAAACTTTGAATGCATTTTCTAGACCCATCAAGAACAAGGACGTTCTTACAAGGAAGTTTGTGCTCCTGTCATTGAGCGTCTGAGATTCTTATTCAATGAACTGCGTCCTGCAGTTTGCAATGATCTCTCTATAATGTCTAAATTTAAACTTCTGAGTTCCTTGCCCCGATGGCGGAGGGTAGCTCAGAAAATAATTAGAGAAAAAAGGAAAAAAAGAGGTAAGACAACGTTAATGTTGTATTTTCTTTGAAACAGTGAAAATCAGTCTCATTCCAAGGTTTGCTGTTCTGTATTTGAGACTCTTGTTTGCTAAAGCATCAAAGTCATTTGCTTTCTGCTTCATTTTCCTGAAGTTTTCTAAATCAATGGTTATGTGTCAGTTTGTACAGCAAGGACAGGCAGACAGGAGAGTCAAGTTTAGGTGAGACATGCTTCTTTGTGTTCCAGCATATCAAAAATGATCCATCAATATCAGTCCCTCTGAATTTGTTTTAGTAAAGTTTAACTAGATTTAACTAGAAGTGGCATCTTATTAAAAATCATGTTTTATTAAAGCAGTGTTGTCAAAGAGCTATTTAACTGGAGATAAATTGATGTGGTGAACAAACAGTAAAGTGCTTTTGAAGTTGGTCTTTAAAGATAAAAACACATTGCAGGTATTACTGGAGCTAATTGGACAATAGTTGGACATAGAATTCACCAAGAATATATTTCAATTTTATTACAAGCAGATCTTAAGCATTTTGAATGCTTAGGTTATCATGCAAACCTAAAAATGTGACACTGTAAAATGTTATCAGACTACATGAAAGAAACACAGAATGTTGGGATTAGAAGGGACCTCGAAAGATCATCTAGTCCAACCCCCCTGCCAGAGCAGGACCACCTAGAGTAGGTCACACAGGAACACGTCCAGGCAGGTTTTGAATGTCTCCAGAGAAGGAGACTCCACAACCTC